AACCACAGCTATTCTGATACCCTGGTAAATAATTTCTTGGTAGCTTTAACTCATCGGTATGGGTATTTTTTTTTTTTTAATCCTTTGCTGGATTTAAATCTTAACCCAACATGCTGGGTCAAATCCTCAACTCAATGCACTGGTTATAAATAACCCATCACTGGGTCAATCCCTCTTGGGCCCAGCACTGGGTTAGCGAATTCACCCATTTGTACATATTATCAACTTTTGTTAATCATGATCAGACTGATCAAATGAATAGTTTTAACTTGGATAAAGTTAATGTTTTTAACATTTGCAGTCTTCATAGAAAAATGGAAAATTTCATTGAACAAAATGGAAGTATAACATTGAGGGCTCTGCATAAAACATGTATTTAAGACCATGTAATTGAATTGCCAAATGTGACTGCACACAATTTATCTTGTTTGGTATAGTATGTCACATGATGTAGTTCCAGAAATAATGTGTGCTTGGATGCGCATGTGTCTTTTTAACTTGCAGAAAAACTGGCCCATGCCAAAGAGGAAAACCTGGACATGCATCAGGTGTTGGACCAAACCCTTCTGGAACTCAACAATCTATAACAACAATTTCCCAGTCACAACTCCCAGTACACACTCATGTGCATGCAAGGATTGTCAAGATGCAGATGGAAACCAATTGGAGGGATCATAAAATGTTGATTCCTAAAAATAAATGTTTATGTGCTCAATAAAATGTAGCAGTTCATCACTTTTGAAGCTCCATTTAAAAAAATATATATTTATATCTATTGTTTCACATGTACTTTGACATGTGTATATTACTAATTGGTATTTGCCCAACAACCAAATCTGTGGGACAAGGCAATAATTAAAAAAGAAAAAACTAACAATTCTTGTGTATGTCACCTTTTTAAACATGAAATAAGACAAATTACTGTATCACCACAGTTACACTTAAATTGTTTCTCTGTTTCGTCCACATGGAAGTGGCATTTTGACAGCCCAAATATGATCACTTTTCAAACTAACTCCCAGATGAATATGATAGAAAACTTGACACGGCAGTCCCACTTTGCCAACAACAGCAATGTTGGATCACCATGTTAGAGGTTGTTTATCTTGGAGGTGATCTGGGCTTTCATTCCAAAGCAGAAGCTCTACCTCGTCCACAGTCCACACAAATATCTCCTTTTTGGATCACATTCCCCATCATCGTGATGTTGCATGGGTTTCTTATTCTGTTCTTGGTAACTTCCCGTGACAGCATTACAGCGCCTCTTCAGGCTTGGCATGAATACTACAGTGTTTCAGCTACGGTACTTGCTGAGGACACTACATTTCTTGAAACAATTCCGTGTTTATGGGAAACTGTTGAAAAACTCAATTTCCATGTGGACATGGCCTTAGAGTCTTCAAATAACCTAGGATATGGACCGAACTATGTGGTATTTAATGGTGGTTGTATTAATCTATAACATTAGTATGAGTACACTAAACAATTTAACGCTTATTTTTTGTAACTCTTTCGGGGACAGTGGTTACTACAGTAGACAGTTTATCATGTTATCAGGTTGCAGGGGTGTCAAACTCCGGTCCTGGAGGGCCGCTGTCCTGCATGTTTTCCAAGTCTCCCTGTTGCAACACACCTGATTCAAATGAACAGGTTTAATGTCAGGCTTGCGCAGAGCTTGCTGATGATCTGATCATTTGAATCAGGTGTGTTGCAACAGGGAAACTTGGAAAACATGCAGGACAGCGGCCCTCCAGGACCGGAATTTGACACCCCTGGAGAGGATGCGTGAAAGGGTTAATATTGATGGAATATGTATGATTAAAATCATCAGAGCTGGTACAAATAAAAAGATTAGCATGAGTTACGTCCATCCATCCATCCATCCATCCATTTTCAACACCGCTTACCCTGAGTCATGGCGGTGATGGAGCCGATCCCAGCTGACTTTGGGTGAAAGGCAGACTACACCCTGAAGTGGTCACGAGTCAACTGCAAGGCACATACAGAGACGAACGACCATTCACATCCACGCATGAATTAGTTTACACAAAACGCTATTCAAATACTCGACATTCAATGATTAATCTGCCTTTTGTATGCACACGTACACCCTTTGTGGCTTCCGTTCTCGCCGAAATTTCGAAGTCTCCGAAATATTTGTATTTATTTGTATTTTCAGGAACTTTCAGGAATGTCCACTTTCATCTCTGCTTTATAGAGGTTGACATGTTCTCCCCATGCTTGTGTGGGGTTTTTTTTTTTTCTGAGGACTCTGCTCAATTCCCCCCAAACACCTCTTGTTGATCAGGTTTTGCAGATCCAACATAAAGACTCTCCTGACCTACAATTGCCCAAGTCGGTTCAGCAGCTGTTCTGCAAAAGAGAGGTGCGACCTGCAGTTGATGGTGAAAGCAGCAAAGTGGTTGATTGGATGTTCATTTCCACCCTCAGAGACACCTATATTGGCAGACTACTGCGGAAAGCCAGTGGAAACATTCACGACTCCTCCCAAACTGGACACTCATTTTCCTCTCCCATTCCCTCTGGAAAACACCACAGTATATTTGAGCCTCAAACCACCAGGCTCAAAAACAGCTTCTACCACCAGGCTGTGGAATGCATTTACCGTAAGAACTACGTCAGGGATGTCCAGCACCAGGCCTGGAGGGCCGCCATCCTGCCTGTTTTCCAGTTCTCCCGGCTCCAACACACCTGATTCAGATGATCAGCTCATCAGCCAGCTCTGAAGCAGCATTAGAACATTCCTGATGATTTGAATCAGGTGCGTTGCTCCTGGGAGAGCTGGAAAACAGGCAGGACAGCGGCCCCTGAGGACCGACTTTGGACACCCCTGAACTATGTAATACTGACCACACCCCCACTGTCCCCTTTACACATACAGTAAGTGCAATATAGTTAATAACATGTGCAATATTGTCTGATTAAAAAAATAATAATCTGTGCAAGACCCAAAAGTAAATAACCACACAACTACCATATGATAATATGGTATTATGGACATTCTCCCAAATGTTAATAACTATGTTCGAACAGTAAGTGTATTTTTGTACGAGTTGCATGGTTTGATTTTATACTTAAAGACTGTAAAATGAGATGCCGAACTGATTTCACTCATTTTTGTGACAGCGACAATGAAGTTCCATTCTATTCTATACTGTCACGTCTGTCTGTTTGGTTTGTTTACAGACGCAGCTGGATTGAAGGGTGTTTCCCTCCAGTAGGTGCACCTGTTCAGCATTTACCAATCAAGACTGCCATGTATTTAAGGACTGCCAAACTGCCTAGTCTCTTGTCGGGTTATTGACCTTGCTTGCTGTACTGCATCAAGTGTTGTTTTCTAGACCAGGGGTCCCCAACCGCCGGACCGGTACCGGTCCGCAGGGCATTTGGTACCGGGCCGCACAGAAAGAACTTAAATAAAACTTAATTCCGTTTTATTTATTTCGGAAGATGAAAATGTTTTATTTTGAAAAATAACCGGATTCTCCGTTACATCCGTCTGTGTTACACTTGACACACGTCAAGCCATGCTTCTCCGTCACGTGACCGATTACGCTAAAAACAAAACACCGGAACTCGCAAAATGAGTAAAAAAAACTGCTGGAGATCGCAAATGGCGGCGGCATTACGAAGTAGCCTTGACGCAAAACACACACTTGTGGTGTCTTTGTCTCCTATTACCCCGAGATGGGACCGTCTGGTTGCAGAAAATCAAGCTCGGGGCTGTGGTGAGTGGTCATTTTCATGCACTTTGAATTTGCATTGTATCGTATTTTGAAGGCATTAAACATTACCATAGCGATCAGAGTGTTGCGGCCAGATTAGACGCTCCTTGTGTTTATTATTATATTTCGAAAACACCACAGTTTTCATGCAGCTCATACCATATTATTTTGTTGTATTATTTCTGCCACAGCTTAAATGCCGGTCCCTGAAAATATAAACCGGTCCGTGGGGCAAAAAAGGTTGGGGACCCCTGTTCTAGACCTCTTGATACTCTCCATAGTCGGTCTAATTATTCATAGATTCTGGTTTGCATTTTTATTTTTTCTTATTACTTTTTGATCTTTGGCTTTGCGTTGTTGGCTTCTTGACATTTCATTTTTTTTTATTCTTGGTGTTCCACAATACTTTGCCTTGTCCAAGCACTTTTGTTTATGCATTCTTTCTCCTGTAATTTGGTGGTGCGCTTTTCTGTAAATAAATATTTTTGTTTCGCACTTTCTCTGAGCCTGCATTTCTGGAATCCAAAAACATTATTCGGTTCAGTCCAGAACCAGACATATTCTCTTCACTTGTGCTCCATCTTCTTACCACACTCCAAAAACATGCATGTGACTGTGAGATTAATTGAAGACTCTATATTGTCCGCAGGCGTGACAGTGAATAGTTTGTTGTTTAATTTTCTCCACGATTGGCTGAGAGCCAGTTTCAGGGTGTTCCCCCCGCCTCTTGCCCATAGGGTTCATCTTCGAATACACAATTTTCCACTAAAAAACAAAACAAAACATTGTCTTAATATCATAAAGAATATCACGAAGCAATAATATTTTATTCATGAAATCATTTTTTACACGCATTTTAACTTTATGGATAAAAATTTTAAAATACTGTAACTGTAACTCCGGTGTGTCAGATAAAACATTGTAAACTCGCTGTTTCTTGCCGCTCTACGAATGGAAAGTCACGACCAAGCAGGCGGGAAATTCACTGGGAGGGAATCTTATGTCATTGCTGATTAATCACTCTCTAAAACTCTGGATTGATTGTTTTGCTGCCATTTCCTTTTCTGTGGGAACATGAGGCGGAGACTTACTGGAAAACACACCACGGAAAGCAAGGCGAGTGGAATCTTAAACATGCCAATTGGTCAAATAGAATTAACAGACAGAGTTATTGACGAATCAAGAGGCACAACTGGAGGGATTTGAACAGATACATATACTAGCAGATACACGGCGATCAACGTCGTATGTCCATCCGTGTTTTGTGAGATCTGATAGCGCAGCATGGCTGGCAATTACCACACAAGCTTGCTTTCTTGACGGGAAATGGGTGGTCCTAATACGGCCAGTTGCTCAGTCTTGATCCCAAAGATGGAACGTAGGCAACTTGTTTTTACAATCTTTGGACTCAAACGACATTAATGATAAATCAAGATTATACATGGACTAATACTGACACATTTTGGTAAGTAGTAATATTTTCCCGTCTGACCGTGAAAACAATATGGCGTAAGCGAGATGGTGGGGTGAGGTGATTCCACAACATCGACACTTCTTTACTTCTCCTTCCTTCCATTACGTTAAGAAACATATATGTCAGTCACTAAGAACCTACAACATTACGCCTTTATGAAAAAAATGTCAGGACTGATCAGAAGAAATGTTAGCATGACGACCCGATGGACAGATCTGTACGTAGTCGTAATAATGTTTTCGGTGAGGTTGGAAGCCTTAGTAAACATTTTGGACATTAAATGTTTGACAGTGATTTTTCTTTGACAGCCCATTATGACCATGGTGTTGGCAAGAAGGCTCCTGCTATTTGCGCTAGCATGTTTGGCTTCGGCTTCGTCTTCAGCAGGTCTGTACGGTTCAAGTTTTTTAATGTGCTGTCTACGTCATCCTTGCTGTTTTAATTAACTGTGGTCAACATTGTGGCCTCAAAATAAAATGTCCTTGTTTTTAATCCACCAAAAATCCGTTTTCCGGGATGTATAAATTTTACATGTTCAATAAAAGAAACAGCAAATATGGCAAAGGCGATATTCAAAACTTGGAGAAAGTGACCCTTTAAACATCACCCAGTGTGTGTGTGTGTGTGTGTGTGTGTGTGTGTGTGTGTGAGACAAAAAAAAGGATTTTAATATGCAACAACAAAACTTTCATTTACCATGACTAAAAAACGAGTGCTTCCAATCAAAATTTACCTTTGTATTTGAATATGTAAACATTTTGCATACAATGTATGGCAGTTAAGTTACATGCCACATCGTAATAAACATGTTTGTCATGGATTAAAAGCCTGTCCACAGTATGAGGCTATTATGTATGCCCTGTTATATAAGATATTGACCCTCTTCGGACTCTCGTTTTTACCTCGTCATTCTCCTGTCCTATCTGAGCAAGATGAACCAGATGTATTCGGAGGATAGTATCGTTAAAATTCTAAAAGTCCTCGAGCAAAGGTGCCTGGAAACCCCTAAACCACCTTTATCAAGGTTATTCCTGTCCAACCTTTACGAAAGAGATATTATTCTTTACGGCAGCAATATAAAAGCAACCGTCCGTCTTAGTGAACCGTAGCAAATGTGAACTTAAATATTTGCCTCCATCATTAAGACTAACATTCCAATACAGAAAAACAGTTTTAAATATAAAAATATTGTAAAATATAAAAACATGTGGGTGGCACGGCAGTTGATTGGTTAGCACGTCTGCCTCACAGTGCAGAGGTGCAGGGTTCGAGTCCATGCCACTGTCTTCCTGTGTGGAGTTTGCATTGTTCTGCTTGTGCCTTCGTGGGTTTTGTCAGGGTACTCCAGTTTCCTCCCACACTCCAAAAACATGCGCCATAGGTTAAGTGAACACTCTTAATTGTCCCTTGATGTGATTGTGAGCGTGAATGCTTGTTTATCTGTGCCCGTGACCCTCGTGAGGATAAGCGGATTCGAAAATGGATGAATGGACAAAAATACGTGAGGGATATAATTTCAATAATTTCAAATGACATTAAAATGTATTCAGAAAGCAGAACCTCCAAACACAATTGCCATGGGGGTGACATAAAATGTTGTTGTCAAACCCTTAATTCACTGTGTTGCTCGAATAGCAAGCGTTTAGCGTATGTGATTCTGCCATACCTAATCATCCTTTAAGATGTTAAATGACTTCACCAGGTAGAGTTCACTGTAAAACAAAACACAGAGATCGAGGCCTCGAGTTGTATGACTTGACTCGAGTTGCTATTTTTAAGACTTGTGACTTGCCAAAAACATGGGAAGGACTTGATTTGGGACTTGCTGTCTAATTGACTAGACTGAGACTTGAACTACATGACTTGACAAGTCATCTCGTTGATAGATTGATATCTGCAGTTTGCCTTTTTAGGAAGGGAAGCAGGCAAGCAAGAAAGAAAGAACAAAAAGCGGTTTTGTGTCATCCACGTGAAGCTGGCAACCTGGTCAGCATCACTTGTTACTGTGAAGTGGCCGCATAAACACCAACAACATGGAAGCAACTCAAGACAACAATTCATTTGAATTCATGGATTATTTTGTCGACGACGAAAAAAATAAGATGGCAAAACCTCACGGAGTGAAGATACAACAAAAACATCTCACTACGTTCGTCGTTACGAAACCCACATAGATAGTTAAGCTAAACTAGCAGTTTAGCTACCATCTTTGAAGACGGTGGACCAGTAATAATATGTGATTGAGAACATTTGGTTTGTGAAAACTGTCCAAACCATTCGTTTCGACGATGGCACCCCCATACCCTACACTTGAAAACAAGGTGAAGAAATGTGCACTTTGAAAGTAGCCCCAATGCACTGAATGCAAAAGAAGCAAAGTGGCGTGTTGCTAACAGACAATTGTGGAGCGAAAAAAATATGTGAAGATGTCTTTGGATTCAAGGATGATGTTTTTGATGAGGCTGGACAAAGACAATCACAAGATGCAAGGTTTGAAACCTGAAAATGAGAGAAACATCTTCAACGCTTCCTCTATCCGTCTGATGCATGTAATATAGCTCTGTGAACTTAAGCTAGCTAGGGTAGCTCGACAATTTAACTTACCAAGATCAATTTCTTGGCGGCTTTACATTTAATTGAGAAGCCAATAATGCCATAGATGAAAAAACAATGGACAATGTAAGTTTGAAACTAGACCATTTGAAACAGTGATCGTTATTTAAGCATAGACATCGTACTACATCGATGGAGTCAATATACAGAGTACTTTCTTGGTCGTGAGCATGAGATGGCATGACATATACTCACTTTTCTTTTTCACGGTGTGTGAGGTAAACATACAGTAGATTGAATGTGAGGCCAGTGTTGTTCTGCCTTTTCTGACTGCTTCACATGAATTAGTCACAAGCTGGGTCTCAGGTTTCTTAAATGCAATTAGCGATGTCCCATTGACACTGTTTTGGCACTAGAGTTTGAGTCCGACCGAGTATTTGGTTTTAAATATCTCCTGATTCCAAAACCCGATGCAATACCTTGGCAATGTATTTTGAAATAGCGCGCATCCGATTTTCCTCAGATTAATATAGAAATAAACATTGATCAATGTGTGTATGTTACATATATTTATTTTATATGGGCCATTCCACCACATTAGTGCCAATTGCCTTTTGTAATACACAATAAAGCATTACATTTGAGGATACACACTGAACATTAAGTTGTTGGGTATGTACGTGACTTCTCTCGTGTCGAAACAACACTATTTATTTATGACCTCATTAAATGCAACCAGTGGAGAACAAGCTTGCTCGTCACCAAATCATTTCCACTCATTGAATTTCTATTTGAAGTTATGTCATTTGGACGTGTCACAATCGCCATACTGTCTGCCGGAGCCCTTGGGACAAAAAAGGTTGGGCACCCCTGATCTAAGCTAAACTAAGCTAGCCGAGACGACACGACCCTCGAAGTCGGATCGACACGTTTTTCTGCCAATCTGTGTGTTTCCCTTTTTGTCCAAATATATTTTATTATGACAACAACTGTCTTGTCCACGGCATCTTTTATTCGTTCCACTGGGGTTTCGCAAGTGTGTTTATAAAGAGACGAAAATCTCTTTACTGTTACTAGTGTTTGTGCCTCAACATGGCTACGATCGTGAAAGCAAAACAACGAATTTGAGGCAATTTTTTCCTCAATTTTCCGGAGAAATTTTCATGAAAATTTGAAAATCCAGAACTCCGGGAAAATCTGGAGGACTTTCATCACTGATTTGTTATTGGGTGAAAAAGATCGATTATAAATTTTTGAACACTTAAAGGTCACAAAGCTACAAAATAATCCAGATGTGGATATATCTTGCCAAATAAATCAGTGGCATCTTAATTTAATTGTACTTTTTTTTTAAGAACCAATGTAGTTACTGTGACATCAATCGGCCCACAGACACGTCTCCTCCGTGCGCACAGCTGTCCTGCAGCCATAGACAAAGCAGTGGGTTTGTCGCCCTAACTTGTTTGGAGGGAGAGGCAAACCAAAAGTTGCTCCGAAATAATCTCCCTTGCTTGATATGAAGAAGCCGCCTCTCAAAACAACATCGTCAAAGAGTTGAGAGTTCTACCAGTCCTAAACTAAAAGTCCCCGGGCCAAGCCATTTGGCTTTCCGACATAGAATGCCCAAAGGTCAGCCAACTGGCTGGATTCGTTTCACCATTGATCTGCAAATGAGCAAAACTCTGGTGTGAACAACACAACTCAGCAATGACCGCTCGCATGCTAACGTGAAGAAAACCACCACATTCCATTTGAACAAGGTGGGGGAAGCACCTCACCTTGCTGCATTTACAGAACAATGTTGACAAAATGGATCGTTGAGTTGTTGGTTTTGTTTTTGGTTTTGTTGTTGGTCCTCTGGGCATTCTGGAGGGGCAAGAAAATCCTGGGACTTCTCGTGCTTTAGCTAATCTGCATGATGAGCAATAGCCATTACTGACCTTAATATGAACCTAATCTGCATGATGAGCAATAGCCATTACTGACCTTAATATGAACCAAACAGAAAAAAAAAAAACCTGCTGAACTGGGAGCTTTCTGTTTGGATTG